AAAGCGGTTTTCTGACCGCCAAAGTGGCCTCCACAATGGAACGCATGACAGAACGTGAGGACATCAGCTTGCTCCTCTTCTGGAACACATCTTCGAAGCACCTCATCCTTCTCCATCTTGAAAAGAAATGGCTCGTCCCAGAAGTAGTCCCTACACACAGCAATAAAACGCTTTCTCTCTTGGGAAGAGAGATTAGGCCGCAGTTTACCACAACACAAATATTTCACAATGTCAGCATACCAAACACTTTTCGACACTTCATGCGCATGTTCATAAGGAAAATTATCATTAATAGAATGATGCACAATCAATGAAGATGATGACTCAGATGGTAAAATGCGTGACAAATGATCAGCAACTACATTCTCAGAACCTTTCCTATCTTTTATATCAACATCAAACTCTTGCAGTAACAAGATCCACCGGATGAGCCGTGGTTTAGAATGAGTTTTGCTCAAAAGGTACTTCAAAGCCGCATGGTCAGAGTGAATAATCACCTTAGAACCCAAAATATATTATCGAAATTTTTCAAGAGAAAAGACCACGGCTAGAAGTTCCTTCTCGGTGGTAGTGTAATTCTGCTGGGCTCCATTAAGAGTCAAGCTAGCATAATAAATCACTCGAAGCAACTTATCAACTCGCTGACCCAAAACGACGCCCACTGCAAGATTAGATGCATCACACATGATTTCAAAAGGAATAGACCAGTCAGGGGCAATCACAATAGGGGCACTCACAAGCTTGCTTTTTAATTCATTAAAAGCACACAAACAAGCATCATCAAAAACATATGGCACGTCTTGAGCAAGCAAATGACATAGAGGCTGACTAATTTTAGAAAAATCCTTAATGAAACGCCTATAGAACCCCGCATGCCCCAAGAAACTCCTAATCCCCTTAACATTCACAGGAGGGGGAAGCTTTTCAATTACATCTACCTTAGCATTATCTACCTCAATTCCCTTGCTAGATACAACATGACCTAAGAAAACTCCACTCCTCACCATAAAATGAATCTTTTCCCAGCTTAATGTTAGAGGTATGCTGTAAAAGCTGTGTTTTGCAGTTTCTATCAATTCCAT